ACACACACACACACACACTCACACACACACAAAAAACAAACAAACAACAACAACAACAAAAACCAGGGCGGGGGGGAGAGGAAGATATAACAACCACAGCTTTTTTTTTGAAGTTCTTACAACAAGAAAATGGAGGGGACACACCTGGGTGGGAGGGGGAAGAGGGAGGAGGGAGGGAGGTTTCGGTGATGGGACACAATAACTAACTACATTGTATATTGACAAGATAAAAAAACAAAAAAAAAACAATTCAATGAAATAATAACAGAATACTTCCCAAGTATAGGGAAAGACATGGACCTTCAGATCCAGGAAGCTCAAAGATCCCCAAAGAGATTCAACCCAAAAAGATCACCTCTAAGACACATTATAAGCAAACTGGCAAAGCTCAAAAACAAAGAGAGAATCTTAAAAGAAGCAAGAGAAAAGTGTCAAGTCACCTGTAAGGGAGCCCCTATCAGACTAACAGCAGACTTCTACACAGAAACTCTACAGGCCAGAAGAAAATGGGACGATATACTTAATATTAAAAGAAAAAAACTGCCAGCCAAGAATATTATTACCCAGCAAGGCTATCCTTGAAATGAGGGAAAAATAGTGTATTTTCCAGACACAGAAAAGTTGTGGAAGTTCACCACCATGTGACCAGCCCTACAAAAATCCTTAAGGAAGTCCTGCACCTGGAATCCAAAAAATGATAATCACTACCATGAATACACGACAAAGAACAAAACCCACTGGGAGAACGAAAATGCAAACAAGAAAGAGAAAGAAACTAAATCCTACCACCACAAAAAGCCATAGTGAAAATGTAATAATGCCCCTACTTTATTTCTGATTTTAGTAATTTTAGTCTTCTCTCTTTTTTTCCTGGTCAGTCTAGATAAAGGTTTGCAAATTTTGTTGATTTTTTTAAAGAGTAAACTTTTGGTTTTGTTGATTTTCCCTATCATTTTTAATTCCCTATTTCATACATTTTGGTCATAATCTTTGTTATTTCCTACTCATATGTGCTTTTAATTAAGTTTGCTCTACTTTTTCTATTTTCTTAACATAGAAGTTTACATTACTGACTTGAGATTTTTCTTATTTAAAAATACAGGTGTTTACAAGTATAAATTCTTCTCTAAACACTGCATGAGCCCTGCATCTATAAATTTTTTAAATGTTGCACTTTGATCTTTATCTCAAAGTAATCTCTACATTCCCTTTGATTTTTCTTTTTACCCATTGTTTATTTAGGAGAGTGTTGTTTAATTTCCACATATTTGTGAGTTTTCTAAATCTCCGTCTGTCATTGTGGTCAGAGAACATGTTTGCTATGATCTTGGTCTTTTCTTTAAGAAAAAAAAGAAAGAAAGAAATTGAAATAATAAACAACAAAAGTTTATGGAGAGTTTTCCATTATGTTTCTATTCTATTCTTCCACTAACTTTTTGAAGTGCCCTTGTGCTTATATTGTTTTTTTTATTTTTTATGCAATTTATGTCACTTCTTAGATATTTATTTTCTCTTCTTTCTTTTTATTAAGTGAACTTGTTGATTTGCTTAGAAATTAATTTGCCTCTGAAAAGTTTATTCATCTTCCTCTGTTGAAAGTAATTTGATATTTGCATGCTTTTGGAAGAATTTAGAGAGCAATTTTGAATAATTTGTAGAGATTATAAAATGAAATATGTGAATTTTAATGTTTTACATCTCCAGTTTTTGAGAAAATTTGAAGCCCCACTTTCTACAGAGTATTTTGTTATTCATCTGTTATTCAGTTTATGTATTTGTTATTTGAAGAAATAAATATGCATATCCTTGTTATAAAAATATATAAATAACATTTTTTTAAAAACTTTTAAAAAGAGAAAACACAATCCTAACATTCATATGGAAAAACAAAAGACCCTGAATAGCCAAAGCAATCCTGAGCAAAAAAAAAAAAAATAAAGCCAGAGGCATTACACTTCCTGACTTCTAAGTATATTACAAAGCTATAGTAACCAAAACTGCATTGTACTGGCATAAAAACAGACACATGGGGCAATGGAACAGAACAGAGACCCCAGAAATCAACCCACATATATACAGCCAACTGATCTTCAACAAAGGCACCAAGAACATACACTGGGAAAGGACAGCCTCTTCACCAAATGGTGCTGGGAATACAAGATATCCGTGTGTACAAGTATGAATCTAGCCCCATACATCTCACCATACACCAAAATGGATTAAAGACTTAAAGTAAGACCTGAAACTATAAAACTTCTAGAAGAATACATAGGGGAAACATTTCAGGATGAGGGATTGGGCAAAGGCTTCATGAATAAGATCTCAAAAGCACAGGCAGGAACAGGAAAAATAAACAAATGGGGTTATATCAAAATAAAGTTTCTGCACAGCAAAGGAAACAACCAACAGAGATGGGAGAGGATTTACATACTTGCAAAGTAAACATCTGACAAGGGATTAATATCCAGAATATACAAGGAAATCAAACAACTTAACAGTAAAAAAAATAATAATAATTCAATTTAAAAAATGGGAAAAGAAGCTGAATAGACATTTTTCAAAGGAAGATATGCAAATAGCCAACAGGTACATGAAAAAAATGCTCAGCATCACTAATCATTAGGGAAATGCAAATCAAAAGCACATTGAGATATTTCACCCCAGTTAGACTGGCTGTTACCAAAAAGAGAATAACAAAAGCTTACAAGATGTGGAGAAAGAGAAACCCTCCTACACTGTTGGTGGGACTGTAAATTAGTACAGCCTTTATGGAAAACAGTATGAAGTTTTCTCAAATAACTACAGATAGAACTATCATATGATCCAGCAATCCCACTACTGGGTATATACCCAAATGAATAGAAATCATCATATCGAAGGGACACCTGCACTCCCCTGTTTATCCCAGCTCTATTTACAATAGCCAGCTACAGAACCAACCTAAATGTTCACCGACAGACAACTGGATAAGGAAAATGTGGTATATAAACACAATGGAATACTACTCGGTCATAAAAAAAAAGAATGAAATTCTGCCTCTTGTACCAACATGGATGAACCTGGAGAAAATTATGTTAAGTGAAACAAGCCAGGCACAGAAAGAGAAATACCACATGTCCTCACTCATAAGTGGGAGCAAAAGAAAAGAAAAGAAAGGAAGGAAAGGGAGGGGAGGGACAGGAGGTAAGGGAAAGAAGAGAAGGAGAGAGGGTGGTAGAAAGGAAAGAACAAGAATCACAATATTTCAGGAGAACAAAGCTGTGGTTATTAGAGGTAAGAGAAGGGAGGGGGGATAGTGGGAAATTGGTTAATGGACAAAAGAAATGATTACCTTTTGTAGTGATGAACATGCTAATTATCCTGGTTTGATCATCACACACTGTACACAGGTATTGATATGTGACTCTTTACCCCATAAATGTTTAATCAATTACTTTTCATTAAAAAAACAAATACATAATAATCCCTCAGTTTGCCAATAACCCAACATTTCTTGATAAACAATACTTTTATGTTAGAGAATCTAACAGGGAGAAACACAAAATTCTAAGAGAAATAAGTAGCTGCAATAATATACAAAAACCAATTTTGGGGGAAATTCTGGTTAGTAAATTAAAAATTCATCTATTCATTGAAAAAAATTAATTAATTAAAATGGTTAAGATGGTAAATTTTATGTTATGTCTATTTTAACATAATAAAAAAATTAGAAACAAACAAAAGATCATAGAGGAGATAAAGACTCAAGAGTATGATATCATTCAATGTCCAACTAGAAAATGAAAACAACTCAGTGTATTTAGAGTAGGGAATTTAAAGCAGACAACTAGTTACACAGGTTATGGAACAGCTGAGATGCCAAACAAGGAACCATTTTCGATTAGCAAACAGCAGGAAGGCATTGCTACCCTTAGGCTAAGGAGACAAAGAGAGGAGTACAGGGTGGTGGGTCACCTGGCAGAAAGTGGAATGCCATTTGGATTGCCCAGGTGAAACTAGAACCATGGAGGAAATGCAGCTGCTGACAGAAGGAGGGAGAGGAAATAACATTCTTCCCTTTGTCCCACCTTCCAGTTCAATTTCTCATCAGTGCCTCCCAAACTCAGCAAGAAGACAACAGACATAGTAGCCCCCTTGCAAGAGAGGATGAAAAAGAGCAGTGGGAAATATCTGAGAACAAACAGGCCTTGAGCTAGCATAAATTCTGTTCAGAAAGAAATAATTTTAAAGTCTAGAAAGTTCAAAACTAATGATTACTTTACAATTATAAATCCTATACAACTGACCAAACTTGAATTAATAACTTCTTTTCTAAAAAAATTTTAATGCACTTAAAGTTTAATGCTACACACTGTTACAGTTATTTTAAGAAGCTGTACACTATACTAGTTCTGAAAAAGTTTCTGTAGTATGGTTATGTTACCTTTTTAATTAAAAATGAATTTATTTTGAAAACTAAAAAGTTACTATAAGAAAAAGGAATCTGACTAAAGTTCTCTTTTTGGAATCAGATCCACCCCAAACATTTAATTCATGTGTCCCAAAAAAGTTAAAACCATACCATTCAAATCTGCATTTTCAAATCTGACCCAGACTATTTTCTCCTTTTCTTCTGTTGGAGGTGTTCCACTGTAAGCCTGCATAGTAAACAGAAACATTTGAATAAAAATATTTTACAGGTCTAATATTACTGATGTTCAAAAGAGTGACTTAAATAAAGCCAACCCTAATCCTCTCCTACTTCACCAACCCTAAATCTTGGTAACTAGCACATTTTGAAACATCATTACTTCCAAAGAATGTTATCCAGGGGTCTGATAACCTTGGTCAAAGACATTTTTAACCTATTAAAGACTTGTAGAAACCGGGGTGGTCAGTTATCTCACTTGGGAGAGTGTAGTGCTGGTAACACCAAGGTTATAGGTTTAGATTCCCATAATGGCCAGCCTCAAAAAAAAAAAAAAAGAGACTCACGGAAACCTAAAGTACAATGATCACAGTCATTTATGAAGTATCACTATAATTGGAAGGCACACAAAAAACTAAATCATCCCCTATATTGTCAACAAATAAGAAGGCTTAGGAAATAAATAAAACTTATCTGTTTGTTTCTAGGTGTTAGTGATCAGGCAAATACACTCCACCTACACTTTTCAAGAGTATTAGTTTTTCAGTCCCTTATCTGGCTTCCAGAACCAACTTATCAGTTAATTCCTGGAAGCCTGGAAGGGTCACAAAGATAAGCATTAACAGCCATGAAGTGTCAACAATATCCCTTAGTACTCAGATGTCACCTCTCCATAAAAACACGTTTTTATTTTAAAATTTTTAAAGATAATATATACTTAGGAGCATTCAGAATATCAACAAAATGGCTACAACTTTTTTTTTGCAATTATAAAGTGATAATCAATTTGAAGAACAATTATTTAATGTAAGCTGCATCAAAAGCATACAAAAACTATCATCCCACATGTAATTTGTTACATAGGACCTGCTATAAATTTCCATGCCACTTTACAGCACCCATACTATACAAGGTTAATGGCTTTGAAAATAGCCATGAAAAGCCAGGTTTACTTTACTACTAGGTATACTATATAAAAAAATTACCTTACACATCCATACAATTTCAATTATCTTTTTTCTATTTTGTTTTGTTTGTTTGTGTTATCAGCACCATGCTGTCTCAATTGAGCTAAACAGCCAGATCTTCAATCGTCTTTTTTTAAAAACAATTTGTAGAATCCAGGATGGCTGGTTAGCTCGCGTGGGAGAGTGTGGGGCTGGTAACACCGAGGTCACAGAATTGGATCCCCATAATGGCCAGCTGACAGAAACCTAAAATACAATGAGATATGTACAGGGGCAGTTAACTGCCTTGGAAAAGAAAAACTCTGCACTGGAACCAACTAATTCATCAACTTTATCTTCAACCACCTCATTCTTATCTTCTTCCTAGGTCTGTCTTGTTCTTTTTATCCTTGAAAACTCTTTTTAAAAAATAAACATTCTTATTTTGGAATAATTTTAGATTATTAAATAACATTAATATTATTATTAATGATAATAATATTAATAATACTTAGATTATTAAATATACAGAGAGTTGTCATTCTACTCCTCACCCAGTTTCCCCTAATGTTAATCATCTAATCTAATCAAATCTTACATTATGGTGCATTTGTCCAAACTGCAAAACTAATATTGGTGTGTTACTATTAATTAAATCCCAGACTTGGATTTCACAGGTTTTTCTGCTAATGTCCTTTCTCTGCTCCAGAATCCAATCCAGGATACCACTTTGCATTTAGCAGAACTTCTTTTTTTCCTATGTCAGACTTTCCTTTAACCTGGTATAGCAGTAACCTTTTCAAAATTTTCTTCAGATTAAAAAACATTTTATAAGACTAATAGATCTGCAACATAACCAGCGCCACTTTAGACAAGCCCAAGTACAAAATGGCGCCACCCACCTCCTCCCTTCCACTCCCTGCTTCCCTTTAGAAGCCTCCTGACTTAAACAGAAACCCCTTTTGCTTCTACAAGGACGCAGTTCTCCACCCCATCCACATTAGCATAATGACCTCCTTGATGGTATCAGCCAGCCCTTGGAGCACTATAGAAGCTCTACCACCCCCACACCTGGTGCTGTCCACCATTTTCAGGGCAGCCCTGGGGCCTGTGCCACTCTAAGCACAGCCCAGCAGATTTCTTTCTTTAATAAAGATTGAAGGGTACCCTGTATCTCAGCTCACTTGCTTTCAAAGACTGCTTATCATCTGCAGCATTATTCAACATTCTCTCAGTTCCAACATCTTCATGATGGTCTGCTTTGACTCCTCTGGGTGATATGCAGAACAAAGCAAAGTCAAAGGAGGCCTTTCAATGTATTGGGATTCTTGAACCTCTTTTTGCTTTCCCTATGAGGAAATAAGGCTTTCATAATGAGGCCTATATGCTTTTACTATGTCTTCAAGTTTTCCTTTCTCCATAGCAGACATGTTATTCTTTTTTATTAAGCATTTTTGAGAGAAAATTCTGCGAAGTTGACCCGAATGCTACTTCTTGTGTGCCTTCCTGTAGGTTTGCACAAAGAAGGCATGCGAAGTCATTCTGACTCTCAACTTCTTATGATCTCCTTTGCATTTGTTTAGATGTTTTATTCTCAGTGAGACACAGACTCACCCAGTACCCATCCAATATTCACTTTCTGTCTTTATGGAGGTCAGTGTACTGCCACAAGGAATTTTTTAATTTCCCTAGCACTGATTACAAGCCCTTCCTCTTCAAGCAAGATACAACTCTTCTAGCCCTCTTAGAGTCAAAACTTTCATCCCATTACTGACAAGATTTACTTCTTTTATACCTTATCTGTTTTCTAACACACATAATACACACACTCATAAGCACAAGGTTATTTTGGGCTTTTATAAAACGTAACTATAGTCACTCTAGCTATCATTCTGTATGCTGTCTTATTTTTCAACTGTACAGAAAATAACTTCCATAGTGTGCTATTGTCAAAAGTATAATTTTTAATTACAGAAAATTATTTTATACGGACCATGATGTATCATCATTTGCTTGACTGTTACTGATATTTAGGCTGGCTAAAATTTTTTACACTGAAAATGTGAAAATTTCACACACTGAAAAGTTTTGAGCTTTAATTTTTTCTTTGTTGAATTAGCTTTTGGGGTCTGGCCAGTTAGCTCAGTTGGTTAGAGCACCGCCTTGTAACACCAAGGTTAAGGGTTCATATCTCTATGACAGTCAGCCACCAAAAAAAAAAAAGAAATTATTTTTTAAAAATAAATTTTCATGAGTGGAATTATTAGATCAAAGAGCACAGCTAAGGGCTCCTTCCAGCCATCAATGCTATCAGTGGAACACAACTATAATTAACTCAATGGGCGATAACCAAAGAAGCTGCTATCCAGTCCAACAACACATTTTCTCTTTGGGGGGTATTTGCAGACCCACAGAATAATTTCTAGGCTCCATGAATTTGATGATTCCCAGAATAGAGGAGTTGGAACATAACATCAGCAGAAAATATCATTTCCCAATATATGACTGCAAAGTACCAATGTGGGATTCTGAATAACATGTGGAAAAAATGTTAGAAAGCATTGTTCTCATGTCAACCAAACAGGAAAGAAAATGTGTAATGTAACAAAAAGTTACTCCCATTATTGCTCTCCTAAGCAAAATAAGTTCAGTAGCTCCTAAAGTGATTATGTCCCACTACTACAATTAGAAATTATAATGTGTTCAGCTCATCTAAATATTTTGACTACTGATTGTAAACCATAAATATACATCTCTGGCTCTGAATCTCTAGTCTCCTCAGTCTCCCTGTGAGACTACTTAATATTTGCTTTACTTTATTTTATGCTTCATATACATGACATCCTTTATGCCTCAAAACAAACTCATAGGCTGGCCAGTTAGCTCAGTTGGTTAGAGCATGGTGCTGATAACACCAAGGACCAGGGTTCGATCCCTGTACCGGCGAGCCACCTAAAAACAAACAAACAAAAAAAAAACTATGATAAATACGATGATTAAGCACATTTAACACTTAAGGGCACTAATGTTTAGAAAGGTCCAGTAACTTGTCCAGAGCTAGTAAGACATAGAGCACAAATATAAACCCAGATCTCATATCAAAGTCTGTGCTCTTAATCACTAAGCTACCCTAAGTCCAATGTGCAAAATGTTGTTATAATTTCTCTGCCAAATAAAGTAAATGCCTACTATGATCCCCATCACAATCCCACTCAATTTATCAGTGTTAGATTTTATTCTGCCCTCAACCTCAATTCAAATGGCATCTCATTTATTAAGCCTTCTTTGATATCCCCCAACTGAACTTAATTTTCCTTCTACTATGTTACCACAGCACTTTGTTTTACCTTTATTATGGTACTTCCATTTAGCCATGTATTTCAGCTGTATATTAATTTTACTATAGACCGTGGGTCACCAAATCTCGCCCATCATCTATATTCATAAAGTTTTATTGGAATATAGCCACCTCCATTCCTTTCCATAAACAGCAGTACTGAGTAGTCGAAATAGAGATTCCATAAAGTGTAAAACTTATCTAGCCATTTACAGAAAAAGTTTGCAGTCCCCTGCAGTAAACCATGAAGCCTACAGACTGGCATCAAGCATCCCCTCAACTTAGCTCAGGTTGTGCCTGATCCACAGTGGGAGCTCAAGTAAATGCTTGCTGCTGAAATTTCTGCTTTCTTCCCACAGTAACTAGAATAATGACTTTCATACAGGGGACAAACAACATAAACTTACTGAATAAATATTCTACTTCTTAGATCCATGCCTACAACATTTACTTTCATAGTTCCTATGCTGATCCAAATCTTCACAGCCACTTGCGCAGATTAATAGCCTGTTAATTTCCTGTCTAACCTACATTCATAAAAACTAAATTAAGCTTCTAATTTCCATTATTTTAGGGCCAGCCCGCACCTCACTTGGGAGAGTGTCGTGCTGACAACACCAAGAGCATGGGTTCGGATCCCTATATTGGGATGGCCGGTTAGCTCACTTGGGACAGCATGGTGCTGACAACACCAAGTCAAGGGTTAAGATCACCTTACCAGTCATCTTTAAAAAAAATAAAACAAATTTCCATTATCTTTATCCTATCAGTTTTAGCAACCTCCTATTTTCCATCTACTAGAAATTACTCAATCTAGTGTTCTTGTTCCTCTAGCAAACTCTCCAACTTTTCTCTCAAAGATTCTAACCCCAGTCTCTCTCCTCCAGCTAACAAAAACCACTTGCTATGTAGGTTTCATACTAGCACAAAAGGGGCCTTTGGGGCTGGCCAGTTAGTTCAGTTGGTTAGAACATGGTACTGATAACACCAAGGTCCAGGGTTCAATCTCTGTACTGGTCAGCTGCCCAAAAAACAAAAAAACAAAAAAATCCTGTACTGGCCAGCAGCCAAAAACAAAACAGAACAAGGCCGGCCCGTGGCTCACTCCGTAGAGTGCGGTGCTGATAACACCAAGGCCACGGGTTCGGATCCTATATAGGGATGGCCGGTTTGCTCACTGGCTGAGCGTGGTGCTGACAACACCAAGCCAAGGGTTGAGATCCCCTTACCGGTCATCTTTTAAAAAAAAAAAACAGAACAAACAACAAAAAAAAGACATCTTTGTAAAAATTTGATAAAGAGGGAGGGCCTCTAAGAGCAGAAAAATAACAAAAATTTTTAAATGACTCTTCCATGGAACTATAGCATCAAACCAGGGCTCAAGACCTCAAAGAGGAACAAACTGGATTTCAGCCCCCAATTGCTCTATCAGCCTGACACTCTGTGTAGAGTACAAGATGCTCTACTGTCACAGCAGTCCTCTTGCATACCATATCCAGCTAGCAAGTGTCCTTCTACATCAAATACGCAAACTTTCCATTCATTTCAATTAATGCTACTTCTAATGTCCTTTGGAACCTGACTCTCACTTCTTTCTTTGCTCTGCATCCCCTTAGCAATTAAATATTCAGTTTGCACATTTGTGTAACATTTACTGATATGTTGCTATTAACAATCTCTGGTTGTTCCAAGCAATTTTACTCCCCATATTAACCGAGTGTCTCTAGAAAGGAAAGTATTTTTCCTTACTTGTGCCACAGACCTTGTTATTGTGGTCTATTTTCATTATAAATGACTGAACAGGGCTGAAAGGTTAACTCAGTTGGTTAGGGCATAACACTACAGTCCAGGGTTCGATCCCTGTACCAGCCAGCTGCCAAAAATAAAATAAAATTAAAATTAAAATGTCTGAACATAATAAAGGAATACCAACATTCCTTGTACTTTCCCTTATTTCATTAATACATTTTCTTTAATTTCAACTAAAATCTGGATTTTAGACTTTTCTAGGACACGCTCATAAAGCTAGGTAACTGGGATGGCTGATTCGCTCAGCTGGTTAGAGCTCAGCCTTATAACACCAAGGTCATGGGTTCAGATCCCCATACTTGCCAGCTGTCCCCTAAAAACTAAAAAAAGCTGGGACACTGAATCTATGAATGTCCTTTTTTTTTTTTTTTTTTAGTTTAGTAGTAGCTGTCCACTACAAGATATGAATTTCCTTTTCGAACACTGCAGTAAAATACTAAGGCCGTCAGGGAAGACTGACAACCCATAAGGAGAAAACACAAAAAACCTTTCCTTTCTGTAGTTCCACTACAACACAGCTTCGCAATGCTATCATTTCACAAAAATCACCTGAGATTCTTCCTACAGATTCAAGTTACTGGATACCACCTCAAATTCACTATATCAGACTCTCTGGGAAAGAAGTGTGAAAATTCAGGCTCTCTGGGAAAGAAGCCTGAAAAAAAAATTTTTTTTTTTTTTAAGATGACCAGTAAGGGGATCTCAACCCTTGACTTGGTGTTGTCAGCACCACGCTCAGCCAGTGAGCCATGGGCTGGCCCCAAAACTGTTACTATTTTTTAACAAGTGTGCCAAGTGATACTTATGTTAAGTTTGCTGTTCTCATTCTTTATTCTCACATATATACAAAGGGAACAGTAAAAGGCTTAATCTCACGTAAGTTAGAGTAACAAGGCATACCCTACTTGGCACAAAATACTACTCAAGGAGCCGGCCCATGGCTCACCTGGGAGAGTGCGGTGCTGATAACACCAAGGCCATGGGTTTGGGGCCTTATATAGGGATGGCCAGTGAGTTCACTGGATGAGCGTGGTGCTGACAACACCAAGTCAAGTGTTAGGATCCCCTTACCGGTCATCTTTTAAGAAAAATTAAAAAAAAAAAAAATACTGCTCAACATGAAGGAGATGTAGATTTATGCTCAGGCATAATATTTAGTTAATAACTAGTTAATGAAGTGCAGAATATACAAGAGAACTTCAAAAGGTTCGTGGAAGAATAGAATTAAGAGATAATACAAATTTTTCCATGACCTTATTGAAGCAACCTCGTATATTGTTTTTCTTACTTCACACAAGCAACACAACTAGAACAAAAGAAATATTTTTGAAATAGAACCCAACTAGAAAGTCCCAAGTTTTTTTTTTTAAAAGATGACCGGTAACGGGATCTTAACCCTTGACTTGGTGTTGTCAGCACCACGCTCACCCAGTGAGCTAACCGGCCATCCCTATATGGGATCCGAACCCGTGGCCTTGGTGTTATTAGCACCGCACTCTACCAAGTGAGCCACGGGCCGGCCCAAGTCCCAAGTTTTAACTCACCTTGATTCCTCTTAAGAGAGCAAGTCCTAATCAATAACAATTATGTCACTGTCATCACAAAACTGAGGCACAGCTACACAATAACAGGTGTAGTTCTACCCTACCAATACTCAGGATGCTGAAACATCAAGTCTTTCTGAAGTTGCTGACACAAGTGTCAAGTTTAAAAAACAAAACATTTCAGAGCTTGCTGTTCAAAAGTAAAACCTACTATTTCTGAAATCACAAAGAGATGCTTACCTGTGGCACAACATCCTGCAGAAAAGTCACAACACTTTCCATGTAGGACTGCTCTCTGGAAAAGGGTGAAATGGATAAAATTTATCATGATGGCTTAAGACCAACCATGGAAAAGCTCTATTACAACCCTAATAAAGTCACTCACTACATAAAAACAAGAAAGACTCCTATCACCTGATAATTCTGCTAACTCATTTTTGGTTTCATGAGTCTTTGTATATGTTATAAATATAGATAAGCTTTTAATATACTTAAATATTATCTCTTTTTAAAAGTCATGCTCTCCTAATTTGATAGAGATAACTTCTAACTCCTATTTGACGAAGTGATGACAGAAGACCTGACTAAGCCAGGACTATCCTCTTGAGTCAGAGAACAATGCCCTACTTAGAGCAGGAAAAACTGTTGCTGATGACTCAGTATTTAGTGTCCTCTTTAAATTGGTTATGAACCTTCTCCTTTACCTATATGTAACAAAGTGAGTCTGCATTTTGCTGCAGGTGCAGGCATTAGAACAAGTTATGAAACAGTCCTCACAATGTGCTATAAATGGAGGACTAAAAAGAACAAGATCCTCACGAAACTTTTGGCATAAACAAGGCACGGGAAAATATTAAAATGTATAAAAGGGAAAAAATTACATTAGGGACACTAATATATTTTGGGGATTTTTTTGTTGTTTTTCTGGTAGCTGGCCAGTATGGGGACCTGATCCCTTCACCTTGGTGTTATCAGCACCACACTCTCCCAAGTGAGGCACTGGCCAGCCAAAATTAATATATTTTAAATGGAAAATATATGGATGACAGCAAGTGAAGAAAAACAATTTCTTCAAAATACTTAATCAAATTAGTTTCAGGAGAAAATAAGATGAGTTATCCTAAATCCCATTTAAAAAAAGAAAAAAGCAATACGCCTTAAAGACCTACAAAAATTGATTAGTCCAGGACTTGCCAATTAGTTCACTCAGTAGGGCATGGTACTGATAACACCAAGGTCAAGGGTTTGGATCCCCATACCAGCCAACTACCAAAAAAAAAAAAAAAAAAAAAAAAATTGAGTAGTCCTCAAAAAAAACCACTGATTTTTACCTCTCCAGCCTCATTTTTTTTGCAACTCTCCTAATTTACTCTGCTTCTGCCATATGCAACTTCAATTGCTAGAATACACCAATCTCTTCTTTGGCAACTGGCCAGCATGGGGATCCAAACCCTTAACCTTAGTGTTACAAAGTGGTGTTCTAAGCAACTTATCAAACCGGCCAGCCCCCAGGCTCTTCCTTGAATCAAGACCTTCACACCATCTTTCTTTCTGACTGGATTCCTTCCCATACTCTTCCCTTCCTTTCAGATCTCCAGCTTAAATGTCACCTCCTCAGAGAGACCTTCCCTGCCAGCATTATGTATACTACCCCTTGTCATTCATTCACTATCATAGCACACTGTGCACAGATCACAGCCTGTAATTATTTTATTTATTTACTTGTTTACATATTTATTATTTACAGGAAGAAATCTATCTCTCATTATTTATGTTGTTATCACCAGAATTTATAAGCTAGTACTTATGCCTGCAATAGATGCTCAATCAAGCATTATTTGTTAAAAGAGCACTAAATGAATGATTAAAAAAAACACTAAAATTATATACTGCAACAAAATGCAATATTTTTCTTTTTAAAAAGATGACTGGAGGGCCAGCTCGTGGCTCACTTGGGAGAGAGTGGTGCTGATAACACCAAGGCCACGGGTTCAGATCCCTATATAGGAATGGCCAGTTAGCTCACTTGGGAGAGAGTGGTGCTGATAACACCAAGGCCACGGGTTCAGATCCCTATATAGGAATGGCCAGTTAGCTCACTTGGGAGAGCGTGGTGCTGACAACACCAAGTCAAGGGTTAAGATCCCCTTACCAGTCATCTTTTATGAATTAGCCATGGGCTGGCCCTAAAATGTTATACATTTTGAACGCCATATGGTGAGGCAGCATAGAATACCATGTAAGTATATAGACTCTGGAGACAAACTTCAGGGTTTGATCCCCACTACCCTCTTGGCTGTTAAGAAGGACAACTTAATTTTTCTCTGCTTTGGTTTTCTCACCTGTAAAATTAAGATTAAAATACTACCTAACGCATAGGTAATAATATGCTTAACATGTTGCCACGGTCCATGGTTAGCAGAGAAATATACTTCTGGGAAATGTAGCAGGAAAAAATTGAAGTATTATGGCAAAATATCATATTACAGCCTGGCTGGTTAGCTCTGTTGGTTAGAGTGTGGTGCTGATATCACCAAGGTCCAGAGATCAATCCCTGTTACCAGCCAGCTAAAAAAAAAAAAGTCTTTATGGTTAGAGTGTGGTGTCATAACATTAAGGTCAAGGGTTCAGATCCCCAAATAGCCAGTCACCAAAAAAATATATATATATCCTATTATGCATATACTTTTCTTAGTCTAAGAATGCAATCTTTTGTTACATGCTAAATCGCCCAATGGAAATAATCCAAAATTCTACAATTCTCTCTAACAGCATTTTAAAAGGCAGAAAACAAGTTTTACCTCTGTAGCCAGGTACTGAAGGGTAGTAACTGTCTACCCCAACCCACTTTAAATAGGCCAACTTCCCTATATCAAGACTACATTTCATATATAAAAATAGCTTGCCTTTCCCACATCTGCTCACTCCATTCACTTTGCCTAAAATGTACCTTTGATTCTAAATGTCTATATTCTATTCAGCCTTTAAAGATATACTATGTTACCTTCTTAACAAAAACTTCTGTTCACCCCACTGAAATACTCCCTCTAAATTCTCATACTGTTTTGCTGGCACCTTTTCTTTTTTACTGATTTTAAGTATACATATCTTTAAACCACACTGGATTATAAATAAAGCTCCTAGAAAGTATAGATATCCTTTGTCAAAGAACACCTAATATTTAAAAACGTACTCTCTATGACACTTACTTTGAAACTTTCTGAGACCTAAAATAAGAAACACATTTTACATCACAATCTAGTAAACACAGACATACATGTGAATATATCTGTGTGCATGTCACAAAACAAGACTAATTCCTAACTATATTTTCTATTATATTCTATTCCACTTTTTAAAATACTGGTCCTGACTCACTAAATAGATTTAAAGACCCACTAATGTGTTAAACCTGGAGTTTGAAAAACACCGCTCTTCAAGATTTGGCACAGTGCTCTTCAGAATATAGCATAGTGCTCTTCACGTACTCATAAATGTGCTGAATACATCAACTTAAGCCTCCAATTATTCCTTTTATTTGGTCTTGGCAATGAGATTCATTCATCTTGTAAAGCCAAAATTAAAAAGATTTTTACAAAAGTAAGCGCTGTTCAAAAAGAAAACCTGAGGGCCGGACGGTGGCTCACTCGGTAGAGTGCGGTGCTGATAACACCAAGGCCCCGGGTTCGGATCCCATATAGGGATGGCCGGTTCGCTCACTGGCTGAGCGTGGTGCTGACAACACCAAGTCAAGGGTTAAGATCCCCTTACCGGTCATCTTTAAAAAAAAAAAAAAAGAAAGGTATGATTATGGTTAAACATATTCTTGACAAAAAATGTAGTCAAATGGAAATATTGTAATGCTACCTTAAGTGAAAAAAGTAAAATATAGAATATGACACCATTTTTGTTTAAAAATCTTCCTAAACTTTTATAAATAGAGTAAGAGTCTAAAAAGATGTATATCAAAATAACAACAGTGGTTAAGGTGAAGTTTGCAAGTTCCACCTCCCAAACATGGCTCAGAGAATAGAGTTATAAATGGTTCATTGGGGAAGCTATTTTCCAACACCTGAATATTATCATTCTGAGTAATCTTTTCTTCAGCTATTGGGCTTATCTGAAATGTGCTTACGTGACAGCCTGAGGGCGAACCACAACTCCACCAGTACAACGACTGGGTCTTCTAGGGGAATCTGTAGCCATAGCTTCATGCATAAAACCTGTTTCCAGAACAAAAACATACAGAAAAAACAATGCATTATTGTTGCAGGTAGGGAGGAAGGCTTATGGTTACTCACTACAGATCCCTTGACAAAAATGCCTAAAACGTAAGAAACTTTCCCAGCAATACCTGTGTTATCAGAAAGGGAAAAGAGAAAGAAGTATATTTTTAAATTTTTCATATTATCACGAGGTTTTTTTTATATAGAACCAGGCTTCAGAACCACAAACCAGTTAAGACTCTTGCTGGACCGTTTCATTTGCTGTTAAATTAGAAAGGTGAGAGAACCAGATCATGGGATGGGACATACAGCAAAGGGTCACTTAGAAAGTCAAATGCACTACCTCTATGAAACAAAATTAAAGAATTTACTGAAATTTTATGTGGAGATAGTGAAAATACACATGGTACAATGTTTCAAGATCAAATAGAACTGTGACACAACACCATTCTATCTTCCAACCAAACCTGTCAGAATCTACCAGTAAGACTACATGGCAACAATTTTTTGTTACATCCTACCTCTTTATAAATCATATTTCTAATCCCCTGCTACTGTAACCTAATCACCGGAGTCTAAACAAACAAGTAACATAAACTTACATGATGTTAGAAAGCCCTTATCCTTTCCCATCACATCACTAAATCCTGATCCTTGAATGTTTAATGAGCCTCTGAATCACTGAGGAGGTTTTAAGAGCATGGAGTCTACTTGGTTTAAAAGTTTAAAAGAGGACTGACAACAATATTAAACATCTCCTACAAGGCTCAGGAAAGCCCACAACCTAGAACTAATCATGAAAGCACCTAAAACCATCACTTCTAAGTAGGGAGCATTTTATCAGCTTATTTGAAAACTGCTGAACTGATGAGCCCCAGTTCCTACAACCATAACACCCTTGGCCCCAGCTAGCCCAGCTACCCCTTCCTCAGGGGGGGTACCTTTACCTCCAGCCCTTCAGCCCTCTCATTTCTATTCCGCCCTCTTTCCCGAACCAGTCTCCCAAGCCCTGTCCCTTAAGGGCCCTGCCTGCTGAAGGCGACCCTCGCCAGTCCCTCAGGCCCCACTCTCCTGAAAGACACTCGCACAGCGCTACCCACTTAACCTCCAACGCGAAGCCACCGCTGCCCCCGGCCGCCCTCTGGCCCCTTGCCCTTCCCCCTCCTCCTCCAGTCTCGACAACCCTCCCCCGTCAAACTCCTGCCAGCCAAACCCAGTCCCCTCATGCTGCCTGACCCTCATCGTCCCCAAGCCTCCCCAAAGCCACAGCCCCGCCAGCCCTCTCACCGGCCGCCCCGCCGGTAAACGCTGTTCTCCAGCCCAAGGCTCACTGTTTGGAGTCTCCCCTCTTGATTGACGGCTTCCACTTCCTACCACGCCTCAGCGGAACCACCCCTGTAGCCAATCCCAGAAGCAAACTGGCTGTGGCCGGGCACCGCCCTTGGAGGTCAGCTTCGCCAACCAGCAAGTAGTAAAGAGGCGGACCCGCATCCTAAATTTATCCAATCCGCTGGGACTGGAGGTAAAACACAACACTATGTATGTTCGGGTGAAGCCGACGTGTCAGGTTCGGTTGCGAACGCAGGCAAGTGGGGAGGAACTATGAACATGTCTATTTTCTTTGCAGACAGCACCTTCGTAGCTTTGTCAAAAAAAAGCAACATGCTCCAGACTCCTGTCCCCCTCAGCCGAGCGTCTCGGATTGGGAGCCGGAGGACAGTGAGACTGGTGTGTTTACATCGAATTCTCGCGACAGATGGTTCGAAGCTCAAAGCACGTGGACATGGCAGCTGCCAATCACTTTTAGCTGGCCACTCAGCCATCCCGAGCCCGCCTTCTGTCCCGCCCTTCGCAATGTGTTTACCTTCCGGGAGCCTAGGCTGGCTGAGGTAGGGAATCTTGTCAATTTGAGCTAGGTTTGTAGAACACACCTGATTCCTACCTTACCTAAGTTTCTATCTCCCATGTCTTTGGGGAGATCTCGCCTTTGTCATTTCATCAGTTACATTTCTTTTATAAGAATAATATTTATGAGGCCGGCCCGTGGCTCACTCGGGAGAGTGCGGTGCTGATAACACCAAGGCCATGGGTTCTCATCCTGTATAGGGATGGCCAGTTTGCTCACTGGCTGAGCCTGGTGCTGACAACACCAAGCCAAGGGTTGAGATCCCCTTACCGGTCATCTTTAAAAAAAAAAAAAGAAGAAGAATATTTATGAACTTATTGAACGCTCAGCATAGTCCTTCATATACTTCATATACAATACTTAATATGTATTATCAAATTTAATGCTAAAGACAGTTTCATGAGGATACAGCTTATTAATAGGTATGGAACTTGTAAAAAATTGACTGATACAGAAGTAAAATTTTATTATTTTTGTTTGTTTTGTTTTTGACGTCTGGCCGGTACAAAAATACAGTTAATCAGAGGCTGGAGATAGATATAGGTATAGATAAAGAGATGGTAGATAAAAGTACAGAAATAATTGTATCCAGGAAGCCAATCATTTACTCTGGATGCTCAATTAGTGTCAATAAACAGAACTCTCAAAGTGTGCCATTTTTCAATGCAATGTTTGAACGTTGGCTGAAAAAGATTTTTTTTTTTCAAAAGATGACCGGTAAGGGGATCTCAACCCTTGGCTTGGTGTTGGCAGCACCACGCTCAGCCAGTGAGCAAACCGGCCATCACTATATAGGATCCGAACCCGCGGCCTTGGTGTTATCAGCACCGCACTCTACCGAGTGAGCCACGGGCCGGCCCTGAAAAAGATTTTTTTTTTTTTTTTTTTTTTAAAGATGACCGGTAAGGGGATCTTAACCCTCGACTTGGTGTTGTCAGCACCACGCTCAGCCAGTGAGCGAACCGGCCATCCCTATATGGGATCCGAACCCGTGGCCTTGGTGTTATCAGCACCGCGCTCTACCGAGTGAGCCACAGGCCGGCCCCTGAAAAAGATTTTTAATGTTCATCTTCCACTCAACAAATTCCCAGCATGATGGGCCTTTTAAGATTTGCTTCCTACATTAAACCCATAAAGACGGAATCTTTCAAATATTCTGAATTCCTTCTGTTCCTACTGCTATCACTGGCTTACTTCTTCATTTTCTTTGAAATGTATTTTGGGTGTTTCTCTTGTGCATATCTCATTTTCTCCACCTAGAAAGTTAAACTTCTTCTACGCATTAGTAGACTAAGATACTAAGGCTTTTACATTGTGAGGCAAATGTGATGACCACTACATTATAGAAAACTGGACTAGGCTTTTACATTGTTTTTTTTTTTTTTTTTTTTTTTCTTGGCAGTTGGCCTATACTGGAATCCAAACCCTTGACCTTGGTGTTACAACATCTAACTCTAGCCAACTGAGCTAACCAGACAGCCCCTTACATTGTTGAATCCCCCTCAACTCCTAACAGCCCTGAACACACAACAGGTATTTAAAAATTCTCCCTCCAAGGGTTCGGATCCACATACAGACCGGTTCCTGCTCACTGGCTGAGCGAGGTGCGGACGCAGCACCGAGGGTTGCGATCCCGTTGCCGGTCCCGGTCCGGTACGGGCGCGACACTGAGGGTTGCGATCTGTTGCCGGACACGAAAAAAGACAAAAAATAAAAAATAAAATAAAAATTCAAACCTGGAAATAAATAATAAAAAATAAAATAAAAATTCAGACTTATTTGAATTAAATAATTATTATTCTTATGTTATCCAGGATCCAGAGCAATAATCAAGGGGAAATCCAAGGAGACCAATAGGTAATAATCATAAATGGGATTAATCACAAATATGATAATAAATGTGATAAACAGTATTTGTATAAAGTTTTTCAATTTAAATAGGTGTTTTACCTTAAATAAGGAAAAGCAGAGGAACAAGACAGTGGAAAAGAGACCAAGGCACCTGCCCTGCTGTGGGTACTCACCTGTCTCAGGCTTATGAAGAAACTGGTTCTTTTTGTTTTTTGTTTTTTTTTTAAAGATGACCGGTAAGGGGATCTTAACCCTTGACTTGGTGTTGTCAGCACCACGCTCACCCAGTGAGCTAACCAGCCATCCCTATGTGGGATCCAAACCCGTGGCCTTGGTGTTATCAGCACCGCACTCTCGCAAGTGAGCCACAGGCCGGCCCCGAAACTGGTTCTTTTTGGTTTTGTTTTGTTTCTTTTTTATTTTCTTTAACATTTCCCATGCTGTGCCCACTTATAAGAAATAAAATTAAGCTGAAATTATGATGAACAAATACATAAATAGCTGTTTTATATGCAATATTAAATTCTGTAACTCTTTGACTCTACAAAAGTATGGAAAAATCAAGCAAACAAAAGATGATAAAGGATACACTTGTACACGGTTCATTTATTCATTCAACAAATATTAGAGTACCTATTAAGTGTCAGGCATTTTCTAGGTTCTGGGGATATAGGTTTTTGTTTTGTTTTGTTTTTGGCAGCTGACCAGTATGGGGATCTGAACCCTTTACCTTGGGGTTACCAACACCATGCTTTAATCAACTGAGCTAACCTGCCAGCCTTTGGGAATATGGTAGTGAACAAATCAACAAATCAATGTAGATGTCCTTAGCCAGAGAATTTACATTCTGGTGGGAAGACATAAATAAACACAGCAACAGAGAAATTTAAGTAGTGTAAAATGCTATGAAGAAAACGAAACCAGATAAATAGAGGTGGGAGATGGCTTATTTTAGATAGTGTGATCAGAGAAGGCCTCTCAGGAGATGACATTTGAACTTAAACCTCAATGAAGTGGGAAAGCCACTGAGGGAAAAGCAGTCCACACAAAAGGAACAAGTATAAAGTCCTTTTGAATTTCGGGCCGGCCTGTGGCTCACTCGGGAGAGTGCAGTCCTGATAACACCAAGGCCCCGGGTTCGGATCCCATATAGGGATGGCCGGTTCGCTCACTGGCTGAGTGTGGTGCTGACAACACCAAGTCAAGGGTTAAGATCCCCTTAACGGTCATCTTTTAAA